TACCGCTTTCTTGCCGCTTTGAGACCCGCGTGTGATAACGTCCAATGACCAGATCATGTAATGTGCCTGCCCCCTCTGCTGTCTGAGTGCCTCCTTTTTGTGATCCTTAACCTTAAAAACCCAAATAGATTAGTAGCCCCATCCATTTGACATACCTTCAAATGGAGAACAGATATCTACGGTCATGCTATTTTTATAGAAGAGTTGTTCTTAATCTTGACAGATATTTAATAATAAATAACAAAATTTTATTTTTACCCCGCCTTTAGCTGAAGCTATCAAGGCGGCTTACATTAAAATTGTAACCCACACATCATAACAGACATATAACCCCCTGCTTAAAAATACATTAAATCGGCATCAATATTAAAATCTAATTTAAAACACCAATAACAATAAACAGTGAAACAATTTCCAGTTACATCGGAGGCTAGTCAAACCCAGCGGGCAAGGCCATATTAAGAAAAAGAAGCAAAAAAGAAGTGACTACTGGGGGAGAATTAGATCTTGAGTTAGCTTTATTCTGGATAAGCCTGCCAGAAGAGATCTGTCTTGATAGCTTTTTTAAAGCCATCTATGCTGGATATCTGATGGATCTCTTCTGGTAAGGCATTCTAGAGTCTGGGAGCAGTGGTGGAAAATGTCCTCTGGGAGGTTGTAGTCAATCTAGTTCTTGTTGATTGAAGAAACTTCCTCCTAGAGGACCTGAGGGAATGGGGTGGATTATATGGAAGAAGCCAATCCTTAAGGTAAGCTGGGCCTAAGCCATGTAGGGCTTTAAAGGTCATTACCAACACATTATACTGTGCTCGGAAACTAATAGGCAGCCAGTGGAGAGATTTTAGAATCAGTATAATGTGATCACTTCTCAATGTACCAGTGATCAACCTGGCTGCTATGTTTTGTACTAGTTGCAGTTTCTGAGTTAGGTATAAGGATAGCCCCATGTAGAGTGCATTGCAGAAGTCGAGTCGTGAGGTTACCAGTACATGTACTACGGTTTCTAGGTCCCTTACTTCCAGGAAAGGGTGCAGCTGGCGTATCAGCCGAAGCTGATAACAGGCGCTCCTGACTGTTGCATTCACCTGATCTGTCATGTGAAGCGACAAGTCTAGGAGCACCCCCACACTGCGGATATAGTCCTTAACAGATAGAGTGACCCCGTCCAGAACTGGTGGTCACAACCCAATCTCTGGTTTGGGGGCCCCTACCGTAAGTACCTCCATTTTGTCTGGATTCAGTTTGAGTCAGTTTTTCCTCATCCAGTCCATTACCACTTTGAGACATTGATTGAGGGGAGAACCGCCATCTGCCATCATGGCAGCTGACGGAGACATGGAGCAGAATATTTGAGTATCATCTGCATATTGGTAACATCCCGCACCATGTCTCCTGATGCTCTCTCCCAGTGGCTTCATATAAATGTTAAACAACATCGGGGACAGAATGGTGCCCTGAAGGATGCCATATTTTAGCTCTGTTTTTAATGAGCAACTGTCCCCGAGTACCACCCTCTGAAATCTGCCCAAGAGAAAGGAGTGGAACCACTGAAGAACAGTGCCTCCAACTCTCAATTCTCTCAAGCACTCCAAAAGGATGTTATGGTCTATAGTATCGAAGGTCACTGAGAGGTCCAAAAGCACCAACTGGGTCACACTTCCCCTGTTGATGCTCAGGCAAAGGTCATCTACCAGAGAGACCATGGCTGTCCCCACCCCATATCCAGGCCTGAAGCTGGTTTGAAATGGATCTAGAAAATCGGTTTCATCCAAGATTGCTTGGAGTTGAAGGGCAATGGCTCATTCGATCACCTTGCTCAGAAATGGTAAACGCGAGACTGGTCTATAGTTTTTCATATCCAGGGGCCCCAGGGAAGGTTTCTTCAGGAGTGGTCTAACGACCACCTCCTTTAGGCTTGATGGAACAAATCCTTCCCTAAGGAATGTATTGATGACCCTTTTAAGAAAGGTCATCAAGGCATCACCCCCCTGGACAAACAGCCATGATGGGCAGGGATGGAGAGAGCACGTCATCTTCCTTACTTTTCCAAGGATCTTGTCCACGTCATCAGTACTCACCAGCTCAAATTGATCCAGTTTAATCTCATAAGTGGGTTTGCTGGACACCTCATTAGTCACTTCTGTTATCATCCCGGTGTCTAAGTTGGCTCTTATCTGAGAGATTTTATCTGTGAAATAGCTGTTAAAAGCATCACAGCAGGCTGTTGTCGGGTTAAGTAAAGGGTTCTGCACAGGGGGAACCTGTGACAGTTCCCTCACCACTTTAAACATTTCTGCTGGACGAGATTCCACAGATACAATACGGGCAGAGGAGAAAAACTTCTTCGCTGCCCGTATTGCTTCTCGATAGGAATGAAGAAATTTCCTATGACAAGTCTTTTCAGATAAGAATCGAGTTTTCTGCCAGGTTCACTCTAGTCATTGTCCAACCCTCTTCATTTTCCTAAGTGCTTCTGTGAACCAGGAATGACGATTTGGAGCAGGTTGGAAAGGACACTTGGGAGCGATTGTGTCGATAGCTCTGGTGAGATCAGTGTTCCAAGTATTCACCAGGACTTTGACAGGGTTGTCGGCTTTACCAACCAAGAAACCCTCCAAGGCTTTCCGGAATCCAATTGGTTCCATTAGCCTCCGAGGGCGGACCATTTTAATTGGTCCTCCACCCCTGGTGGGATGGGCAATGGCTCTCAGTTCAACCTTGACAGTGCAGAGGTATTTTTTACCTCCACCCACCGATATGCCTGCTCCGTACTAAAGACCGCATTGAGAGTATGACCTGCCGAGTGTGTAGGCCCGATAACCAGTTGGGATAGGCCCATGTCCATCATGGAATCCATGAACTGCTGAGCCGCACCTGTTAAACTGGTCTCAAGTGGGATGTTGAAGTCTCCCAGAACTAAAAGTCTGGGTGACTCTAGCAACAACTCCAAGACCAGCTGTGTATTTATGCTTTGTTACATCCACAGACAGAATTTAAATATCAGTCAAGATTAAGAGCAACTCCTTAAGAAAGAGCTGAGTTCAAATATGCATAAAACTAGACTTCCTAAAGATTTCTGTCTTCCCTTTGAAGACATTCAAATTTGTTGTTGTTTGCCTTCAAGGTGTTTCCAAATTATGACAATCCTAAAGTGAATTTATTATGGGATTTTCCTGGCAAGTTTCTTCAGAGGGGATTTACCATTGGCATCCTCTGAGGCTGAGAGAGTGACTTGCCCAAGTTCAACCAGTAGGTTTCTATGGCGGAGCCAGAATTTGAATCCTGATCTCCCAGTGTCCTAGTCCAATGCCCAAGCCACTACACCATGCTGCCTCTCTGGAGACATTCCGATGCTGTAGGCTATCTTCAGAAGCAGGCAATGGCAAAACACCTCTGACTAGTCATTGCTTTAAAACTCCTATGAAATTCATGGGGTCACCATAAGTCTACAGGCAACATGAAGGCACATACTATTACTGCTACAAATCCACAGAACACTGGGAGGATCACAATATTCAGGACAGCCAGAAGAATAATTATTTCATGGGATAATAGAGATAAGAAGGGTAGAAAGGAAGATACAATTGAAAGCATAGCTGGAATTCTAATACAAGTTGCTTTTTATGTTATCATCCATAAGCAACTCCACTGTTCCTTTTATTTTTCCTGAAGATCAGAGTGCCATATTTATCTTCTGACCCCTATTTAGGGATTTATTACACACTCAGCTTCAAATTGCTGCTGAGCTATGAAGTTCATTAGGTGGCTTCAGGCAAGTCATATCTATCAGTCCAAACTACCTCACCATGTTATTGTGAGATAAATGCTGAGTTCATTGAACCAAACCCAGGAAGCTAAGCAAAACTGAATGGCTCTTTTTACCTCTTCATTATTTTGTTCTTTACAAATGGGGTCTTTCAACATTTAAGTATCAACGTGTGTTTTCCATTTTCAAGGAGGCCGAGGAACATGATGTGGAAAAATTTCATGTACTTACCAAATTATTCAAAGTACTGCTGATACAGTTATACTATTCAGTCATACGCTAGCTTGTTTCCCATATCTCTGGTAATGTGAATCCAATTACCTCTTTTTCTTTCTCCACAGCTTAATCTAATAATAGTTTTTGCAAAGACTTTAGGGGGAAAATGCTGCACATTTTCACTGCAAGTTAGGCATTTTCACTAGAAGAAAACATGACTGTTGTTTTTCTTCAGTCCTCCAGAAGAAAGTCCAGTTCTTTACATATTTACAGAGACTTTTTATTTAAATAGCATTAGAAATTTCACTTTCGTTTATACATAGTTTTGCCAATATATTATTTTTATTTTTAAAACATGCTGTTTATAATGGTGGACCCTTTTCAGTTGCTCATGACTCTCAGCAAACACACTGATAGGGTTAGTAAAGATGGGAAGTCCCTCCTGGTCACTTGAAAATGCTATTTTGGCTGGATTTTTGAGTGAGTGTGTGTGAAATAAATGTATGTATGTGTGGAAGAGCCAGCGTGGTGTAGTGGTTTGATTGTTAGGCTATGATGCTGGAGAACAGGGTTTGAATCCCTGCTTGGCCATGAAAATCCACTGGGTGACCTTGGACAACTCACACTCTTTCAGCCTCAGAAGAAGGCTCAACCCCCCCCCCCAAACAAATCTTGCCAAGAATAACCCATTATAGGTTTGCCTTAAGTTGGAAATGAATTTAAGGCATAGGAAGCAAATTTATGTGTCTCCTAGGAAAGATTTTAAGTCAGGAAAGTCTTTTTGACTCTTCTTCTGGCCTGGAAAGACTTGGGGGCATCCAAATGACTTAGGGCTGCAGAAAAAAACAGCCACCCAATATACAAGGGCCACATGTTGCCAATGGACTGTATGATTGTTAGCCTGCTTTCTTGTCACACTACTATGTTATATATTATTGTATTTGCAGAACTGCAAAGTCATTATGTGAGTGTGTATGTGTGACAAAGGCCATGACATCTACTGATCATATCCTTGAAGGAGCCAGACTATGAATGTGTATTAGGACAGCACTTGGACTACAAGTATAATGTGTATGATGTAATGCCTGAAGCAAGGTTGCATCAGCCAAAGGTATAAGAGGCACAGCTCAGTATATGCATTTCTGGGTCATAAGGGTTGTGGGTCACTGGAGTTGTGAGTCACTGCAGTGAGTTGGCCAGTGGTCTGTGTTAGTGAGTACTGGAGAGTTCCTGTGTTGATGAAAACTGAAGAATGAGAAAGCCTGACTATGCTTTTATCCAAGAGCTCTGAATCTCTGGATCTAGTTATATATCTCCTATCCTGTGTAAATAAAGCCTTCAACTGCAGCAGCCCAGGTTCTGCATATTGTCTGGGAGTGTCTCAAGTTCCCCACAGAGATATTGAAGTTCATTCATGCCATGCCGCAGTATGACATTTCTAACATTTTCTTCATTTAATTATACACTGTCATTCTTCTTCTCTAGTGTAAATTTGGAATTCTAAAACTAGCAGTTATAGAGGCCAACATCCAGGTATCTAGAGCAGGGGTAGGCAACCTTTTTGAGCCGGGGGCCGGGTTGCTGTCCCTCTGACAATTGGGGGGGGGGGGGGGGGGGCGAAGCACCATAAATAAATAAATAAATAAATTAAAATTAAAAATTAAAAATAAAAAAAAATTAAAAATTAAAAAAAATATGCATGCACACTCTCTCAGGCCCAGAAAAGCCATGGCAAAACCCCTGTGGAGATTTTGCCAAGAAAACCCCAAGAACAAGTAATAACAACACTAATCAATATCATCATGGCGGGGGGTGGTGGCGGCAGGACCGGCCTGGGGCCAGTCCAAAGAGGGGGCCACATCCGGCCCCTGGGCCTTAGGTTGCCTACCCCTGATCTAGAGTGTTGGTGGCATTCAAGGTAATCAGAGTTTGGGGCCAGTTTTATTAGCTCTGGCAGAACTTTCAAGTACAGTTGCCACACTGAAAACCCAAGAGGGCTCCTCTACTGTTAATAGCTGTATAGAAGAGGGAATTTCAGATGGTGCTGTTGTTTTTTAACCTGAGACAGGTAACAAACAAGCAACACCTGCTGAAATTCCCTCTTCTACACAGCCATTAAAGCCCCTTAGCAATAAGGAGTGCTTATGAGCTTTCCATCTGGCAACACTAGTTTTTACTTGCTGAGAAAAGGGTAGCTAGAAAGCGGGAACATCCCTTTGATTGGCAAGGAGCACTATCTTTCTCTGCTCATATGGGAGTTAAAGTTGCCTGGTTCAGATATCAGGAATATAAATTTGCCCTAGAGGGCCAGCATGGTGTAGTGTTGAGTGTTGGAATATGACTCCAGAGATCAGGGTTTGATTCTCCCACATGGCTATGGAAACCTCCAGATGACCTTGGGAGAGTCATATACCGGTACTCTCAGCCCCAGAAAATCCTGTGACAGGTTCACCTTAGCATCAGAAATGACTTGAAAGCATGCAACAACAACTACAAATATGCATTAAATTCACTGGATAAATATATGGGTAATGAGGAAAGCACTATGCAGTTACCATAAGATTACACATTTTGAATATCTTGGGGTTCATAGTGTGGGAAAGCACTAGAACTCTCTGGCTGTGAATTCTAAATATACCTTCCAAAAGTGAAAGTCCCTGAATTCCATTTGATGGTACCATGGTAGTTAAAATGGAATCATAATGCTACAACTGTGCAATGAGAAAGATCTCAGATATAAAGCAGGCAACAGACATCCTAAGAAAGGTTGACATAAGAAGGTACTAGGGCAACAAATGATGGAAGGATGTCCACTTATCCATCTCTCCCCCATCAAAGAGGACCAAAAAAGAGGGCAACATAATTGAATAACATTTGCATATGCCAGTTTATATCCATGAAGGCAAATTCAGAAATATTTTCTATAGTTTAGATATCAAAAAAGGAAGGAAAAAAAGAGAGGAAAAAAGGGGTAGTACATAATATAAGTATGAGCTAGACATATACATTAATATATAAGCTGACCATATTTCCAGAAATATATTGGTTGGCATTCTATCCAGTAGTTACAAGTCTGTAAACTGGACTTACAGTCTTGTAAACTTTGAGACTCACATTTATGGCTATTAACAACTAAAAGTGATTTATGATGGACTGCAAATTGATGTCTGCAGTGCTCTCCTGGTCATAGAGTGTGTTGAGAGAAACTGTTGCAGCAGGACCCCAAAGTCCTCCCTAGCTGCCTGTTCTCAACATCCTCCATGGCGAGGAGAGTGCTGCACATGTCTTTTTGGGGTTGGGTGAGATGTTCCTGAAGTTTTAACTGGGGTTCTTGCCCCTTGAGCCATAGCATTGCATTGGGTCCACTGTATTGGTGTACAATAAGGTTCCACCCTGTTACTCAAGCACAGGGGTAGGCAACCTAAGGCCCGGGGGCCGGATGCGGCCCAGCAAGGCCTTTGGACCGGCCCCAAACCGGTCCTGCCGCCGCCGCCCCCCCCACCGCCGCCGCCCCCCCATGATGATATTGATCATTGTTGTTATTACTTGTTCTTGAGGTTTTCTTGGCAAAATCTTCACAGGGGTTTTGCCATGGCTTTTCTGGGGCTGAGAGAGTGTGCATGCATTTTTTTTAATTTTTTAATTCTTTTTTAATTTTAATATTTATTTATTTATTTATTTATTTTTGGTGCTTCGGCCCGTCAATTGTCTGAGGGACAGCAACCCGGCCCCCGGCTCAAAAAGGTTGCCTACCCCTGCTCAAGCAGTTCAACATCTACAAGAAACTACTGGAACAAATAATCCAGCAGTTTGGGTTCCATTGCCACTATAACCTCTGTGAGTGTTGGTTTGACCCAGTGGGTGGGAAGCCATAAGGAAATCTAAGGAAGGGGCTGCACTTGCTGGTTGAGTTCAGAAGGACAAGAACAGAGCTAGAGAAGAGTTGCAGTTACCAATGCTAAAAAAGACCCTTTTCTCTTCGAAGGGAGATTTTAAATTGCACATTTAGGAGAGAACAAAAGGATAAATTATTCATAGTGTAATTCTGTATTGCATTTCCTTCATTTTTTAAAAAATAAATCTTTTAAGATTGCATCCAAATGTTGCTGTTCAACTGAGCAGCACAGGTAGAGTCATACAATCAAGTCCTGCACTGGGTGCATGGGACTTTTGGGACAGTGCATGTGTGTCACATTTAATGTATAATTTGTATTATTGTTATATGTATATATTGAGATTTAAAGTACAGTAGTGTTTGCAACATTCAATTATAATTGGCCCAATAGAACCTGGAAAGAAGGGACACCAGCAACAGAAAAATGACACTTAGCACTGTCTCTCTTTTTCATCTACAAATCCCTAGGAAGTTATAGATCACTTGAGCAAATACCTGAGGGACACATTTTGGGACAGATAAGGTGGAACAAGCTGCACCAGGAACCTGGAAGGCTAGAGAGAAGAGGTCTTATATACAATTGCCTCATTATCTTCCTTTTGCCTCTACATTCGTACCTCCCCATTCACGGACTTGGAATCTGCGGTCTCACTTTTCATGGGATGGCAAATGGGGAGGGACAAAATGGCAGCATGTGCCCACACATGACCCTGCATGCATGCCATGGGTCACCATTATTTTCAATGGGGCTCCAATATTTGCGAGTTCCCATTTTTGCAGGGGGGATACTGTATTGGTATCCTTGGGAGAGAAAAAAACACTGCCAACTAAGCAGCGTCTAGCCTGATGAGAAGCTCTGTCTCTTCTGAATTTGTCTTTAAGCCAGGCTTAAAGACAATTTATACACAGTCAGATGAATCCAGCAAAAGAGACAATATGAAGATCTTCAGGGGAGTCCTTAGGATTTCTGAGTAGCTATAAATACCCCTTTCCCAATAAGCTTCAATTTCTTACTGGCTGGATCTCTCACGACAATGAGTAACGTATCATCGTCAAGGACAATAAATAGAAGTAGGATGTGAGATGTCTCTGTTTAGTTAAACTCTTCATCAGCTGTATCCTTGTCATAATATAAACATACAAATCACATTAGTAGTATGAACATAACAAACAATTGCATAAACAATATGCCATACAAAATACTTACATTACAGGAATATGGAAAGCCTACAACATAGAGGCTGCAGTTTGCTGAGCATAGAATAGCTTGTATCTAACTCCCACAGGGGAGGAAAATAAATGTCTGTTTTAATTAATGATATTTAGCACCTGTTTAGCAGGTGACTCATCTGGTAAGGGACTTTGCAGACTGCCAGAAATAGTGCACTTTAATTTGAGGCACTGCCCTGGCTCAGTGCTAGGGAATCATGGGAATTGCATTTTATTGTGGCACCAGAGCTCTCTGACAGAGAAGGCTCAATGTCTCAGAAGAAAATGCAATTCCCATGATTCCCTAGCACTGAGCCAGGGCAGTGCCTCAATTTAAAGTGCACTATTTCTGGCAGTCTGCAAAGGCCCTAACTGTGTATAGATTGTCTTTTGATACTTTTTCTTGTTGAGTTTAAAGAATACACCAACTCAGCTTGTTCCCCTACACAGACTTTCCTGATTGTTTATTTAGCAATATCATTTTAA